TGGAAGAGAGGCGGTCTGGCTGCAGTTCCAGATGGAGGGTGCAAGAGGCGCTGTCTTGGGAGACAGCCAGAGAGCGAGGAGAGGTTTTTTTTTACTCTTGACAGCAGAGGACGTGTGGGCGTTTTGGGGGGGGCAGGCAAGGCGGGGGCCACAAACTATCACCCGGCGGGCTGCAAATGGCCCCCGGGCCGCATGTTTGAGATCCCTGGTTTAAATCTCAGGTCAGCCAGTCTGTAGGCCGGTCAACAATCAGGATCCAGTGACATACTTGTGCTGGATCCTACCATCAATTACACTTCAAAAACTTTTCTCTCTCCTATAAATCCTCAAAACATGCCACAGAAAACTGAGAAATCCTTTGAAGTAGAGTTTTCGCATCATGAAACATTATAGTGAGAGGGGAAGAAGTAGAAAATCCTGATTCTATCAGCATAGGATACACCACTGGGTACTCATCTTTTTCTTTAAGCCTAATTAATCTCACAGGACTGTTACAAGGATAATGTGGAGAAGTCACCATGTCTTGAGATGAAGAGGAAAATATCTAGGAAATGTTATTTCAGCCTTTCTGGTTCCCCATTTTCTATGACACTGCTCACAGAATACGTATCTACTGCTACTTTTTTTCAGATCCTATTTGATACTCCATGGTTTGTGGCTAACAAGCATGCTCAGACCACATCTGATTTGTTCTGGAGTTCCACCTATGCCTTTTTTGAAATGTCTTTCTGTCTTTCTAAAAACATCAGGATTACCCAGAGTCTGCTAATATATTTATCTAGTTTCTCAGCAATCCCAGTTTGGAGCTATCTGTTGCCATTCACAACTTGCTAAAGCGAAAAAATATTAATTAAACCTAATAAAGAGGTAAGTAGGTCTGCAGATTGGCATTTTACCTGTCCAGCTAGGCCAAATAGAATAAGCGCAGGATTGGATGAACCTGAGCTGGATTTGACATTTTTCTGACAAGCAATGCTGCCACAATTCAGACAAGAGCAAGACTGTCCTAATACATTATTTTAAAAGACTCTGCTTAAAGTACATAAACAGACATCCCATTGTTCCTCCAAATATTTCTCTCACATGGAAATGCTGGCAAGCTGACAATCACACTTGTCTACTTTTGAATGCCAGCACTACATGTAAGTTATAATCTAGATATCATGTCATTCAGAGGTACATTTTACTAACTTAGCACTGGGATAACATATGGCAAGCATGGAGATCAGTTAACCCATCAGCTGAAAACAACACTAGATGCCTTGTGCTGCCAGCTTTCTTTTCTTTAATGCTAGAACTTATCTGTGACATTGGCATCTCATTAATACAGTGCCTTCTGTTCTGAAAAAAAGAGATATGAATCTTTCAACCCTTCACAGTTCTATTACAAGTATTTTAGATTTGTCCAGGCATGGCTTGAACTAGCCAAATTATAAATGCCACCGAGAGCTACTATCCAACTTCAGAGCAACCTAGAGTCCTGAAGCAAGGAAACAAGACCAACATTTGTGTGAACACAGAGTCTAAAATGAAGGGACTATGCTCATGAGATTACCATTGATACTATGGAAACACAGTACTGATATTTTTCATAACCTCAATTTTTAAAAAGAAAAACTCACATAGTTTTAAAGGCAAAATGGGACTATTTCATCCAACCTACTTTTTAAAGTGTTTTTATAACAACATTATGTACTGTACAAAAGTTTCATTTCAAAGTATTAAAAATGTTCTCAATAATTGTAAATAGATATTACAATTCAATAAAGAGAGACAGGAAGTAGATTATGTTTCAACTGAGATTTTGTTTCATAAACAGAGATGGGTGAAACATATTGCTGTATGGTGCAACCATCTTTATACCGAAGACACCATTTCCAATCAAGGACTAATGTGACTGAATACCTATGAAGTATTTGCCTGAGGTTTTACAAAATGAAGCTTGATAGGATGTTCTGCCAATACACTATACTCAAATGGCATTTATTTTCTTGTGTTAGCAATATAAACCTTGCTTATACACAGGCAGTGACATTACAGCTGTTACTCTGGAAAACTAAGACTGATGTGTGAGAAAAAAATATGCTAGGAGATAAACAACTGCATATGAATTGAGAATGGGTGGTGGTAATACAGAAGACATCAACAGCAATTGTGGCAATGAAAAGGTATGTTCCCTTCTATTTCTTTGTCTAACCCCCAAACCATCTGTGCTTGCCAGTTCTGCACAGCTGGCAGACAGAAGCACCTAGGGATCAACTGCACTATGCTGATGACCTCAGTCCTAGATGAATCCCTTGGTAGAGTGGCAGAGTCCCTTGGTAGAGTGGCCTAACAGTAATAGTGACATTTTACCCATGGACCTAGTATGCAAACTACAGGTATTGGGTTCTTTCTCAGCGGCCTATTCCATTAGCCAATACAGTGGTGCCCCGCATAACGGGCGCCCCGTTTTAAATGGTAAAACATCGCTTTGCGATGATCGGCAAGCTGTTTCGCTTACCGATTTTCACATAGTGATGTTTTTAGAACAGCTGATCGGCGGTTCCAAAATGGCCACCGGGTTAAAAAAACGGCCGCCTGCTGTGTTTTCATGCCCATTCCTCGCTTACCGGGCAGTGAAAATGGTGGCCGTATGGAGGATTTTCGCATAACTGGGAGTTTTTAGCCCATAGGAACACATTAAACATGTTTTAATGCATTCCTATGGGCTTTTTTGTTCCGTATTGCGACAAATCCACATAGCGACGATTTTTCCGGAATGGATTATTGTCGCTATGCGGGGCACCACTATACACTCACAACAATGATGCAACAGCTTCCTGTGTCTTTTCTCATGCCTGAGGACAACACAGAAATTAAAGCCTCTACCCACAAACACCATTATATATTACATCTAACTAACCATTTGCCTCCAAAGACAGACCAACTACCAGAGGAGATATTGATAGGAGAAGGCTATAAATCACTAGCAAGGGAAACTTTTCTTCTTCAAAATACGTGTGCCAGGTCTAGATCAACTGTAATGATGCCACCAACCCAACATGCAGGATTCATTCCATATCACTGTATGTTCTTAAACAGGATTTTGCTTACAGAAATTCTGTCAGAACCAAAAAAAGTGTATGAAGGACACATAAGAGAACCAAATTTGAGCCACAGAGTTGCTTGCTCAATAATGTTGATATTCTCTTGACATTGAAACTGATTAACCATTTGCCTCTTTGTGATGAAAACAGAATGAGCAAAAATCAGAAAAGGTACTACTAAGATTTTCCAGCTATTCACATACACGGCGTCTATGTTGGCTTGGGCATAGGGATCGCTATACGGATTTTTCGTTAAACGGTGCACTCGTTAAGCGAGGCACCACTGTACTAAGATTTTCCAGCTATTCACATACACGGCGTCTATGTTGGCTTGGGCATGTGGTCGGATTCCAAAAGATCTCCTGTATGGAGAAATTAGTGCAGGGAAATTGTCCCAGAGGGAGACTACAGCTGGATACAAAGATATCTGCAAGTGGGATCTGATGGCCTTAGAAATGAACCTCAACAGATGGGAAACATTGACATCTGAGCATTCAGCCTGAAGGTAGGCAGTGCATCATGGCCTCTCCTATTTTGAAGAGACCCTTGTCCAGCAGGCTGAGGCAAAGAGACAGTCCCAAAAGCAGCAAGATCAGGGAGCTGGACAGGGGACAGATTGTATTTGCATTCAGTGTGGAAGGGATGGTCACTCTCGAATTGGCCTTCTCAGCCACACTAGACACTGTTCCAAGACCTCAATTCAGAGCATGTTACCATAGTCTCTCGAGACTGAAGGATGTCTACAGGACATACACTCTCTTTTAATTTCAGCTATTTAATCTCAGAATGCGGAAATGATAACTGTGGTTAATAAGAGATCATCGTAAGGCATTGGGTTCAAAACATGTAGCAAAAAAGTAGACTTGTTTAGCATAGAAAGTGAACATTATATTCCTTACAAATCTTGTCAATTTTGAGTGCAATCACATTTATACTTCCTAACACCAGGGGAGTACGCTGACCTCGAAGTATGTCACTCCTGAATTGTTCAAACTGCTAACTTAGTTCTCTATCCATGTTGAATCAATGCAGGACTATTTTACCACTGAACCATAACACTACTGTTTAGAACCGCAAACGTGCCCTTTGTTAAAAATTATCTGACTGACAAGACAAACACAAGAAGCTGCCTTATAATGAATTGGACCATCAACTCATTTTGTTCAGTACTGTAAACACCACTTTCCAGGCTTTTAGATAGGAGTCTCTCTCAGTTCAGGGATTTTCAAGAATATGTTATGCCAGGTAAAAGATTATATGTCGATTTGTATACAAGAGAAAAAGAAGAACAGAGAGATATTTTCATACATTAGACAGGAATAAGTATTGTCCAGAAATACATGCCACATTATTTGCCAACCCAGATTTCAAATTGCCACTACACTGTGATGTGACCAATGAACAACTCAAAAAAAAAAAAGGATTTTACAGATGCTCAGTTGCTTATTAGGGAAAGGAAGCAGATTTAATTCCTAATTCAGAGACAACACTAGTGCCTACTGCCATATTTTTCTTCAGAATAGAAACAGGACAGAGACAGAATTTCATCCACAGAAAATAAAGTGACATATTTGGCACCACTATTGGAGTGATAACAAAACTCAATCTTTCCTTTTAAATCTCAGAGAAATGCCAAAATAAGCATGTCCACACAAGAATACAAAAATGCACTGCACTCCTACTAAAAGCCATCTCATATGTAACAGGTAGCCACACACACAGCCCCATAACAACAACCAAAATTTTATTACAGTGACAGAGATAAATAAGAAGGAAAAATCATTACTGACATTGATTGCACAATACACAAACATTTCTGCAGCAGTCAGACCTTTAAGATGCTTAATAATAACACATTTGTTTTAAAAAATCACACTTTTATGCTTTATAGGTTCTGTTCTATATATTTACCTGAATAACTTTGTAGAAATAAGCATACTGTCGAGCAGTGTTTTTATACTGGCTGAAGACATCATGTATGGCCTGAGTTGAATGAAGATACTGAACCTCGTCTTCTTCGAAGTAAAGAGGGGTATTGTATTCATTTGGTAGAGTTTGGATATAAGGCAGCCAGAAAGAATTGGGGTTGCATCGTTCACAGAGAAGGTGGAATGCTAATGTGATGTTGCCCATGGCTTGAAGAATTCGGTCTTGAGAATACAAGGACCCTAGAAAATTCCAAAGGAAATCTTAATCTTTTCCATTATGACTAACATACACTTGGCCAATGTCAATCATATAGCATATCAAGTCATTTTAAAAATCTCTACTGAAACAAGACCAGTCTCACACTGACACAAACAAATGTGATTTGATGTATTTCTCTGGTATCTGGCTGCAGAGCCACTGTACCTCCTGGGAGAAGAGCCGGCCTGTGAAGCTTTGGGCAAGCTGCACAGTTCCAGAGCACCACCAAAAGGGAATGGTAAACAACCTCTGAGTATTCTCTACCTGGAAAACCCTGAAAAGGGTCACTATAAGTCATAATTGACTTGACGGGACATGATTATTATAATATATTGGGTACTGCCTTGAATGAATGCATTATGGATGAAATTCATCTCTACAAAGAGAACAGCAGAGGATAGCTACCTATTATTAAGTAAGCATCAAGAAATAAAAGGATAGTTTGCTCCTCATTCTTCCATGTTCCAAGAGTAGCAATAAGCTCACTAGCTCGTGGCTCAACAGACAGCAAGCTCATGCAATCTACTTTCTTTTTAATTAAATCCCTAAGATCTCCAACGTGAGCCAACTGTTTTCATTACAGATTCATGGGCAGATGTATACTTTGAATTAAAGGGTAACCCTTAAACACATGCTTAGCCCATAGCAGGTTTTCATTACAAGAACTAAACTCATCTTTCCAAATACATTTATTTTTCCCACCACATTTTATTTACTTCAAAATTGACAGATCACATTTTAGCTGCTATTATTGCACAGTCTGAAGTCAGAACTGGAGATGGAGGTATTCATCTTCATATACAGATAACCCCACACAGCTGGAGTTAACGAGGGCCCGCCCCCTGGGGACGGACTGTCCACTCACGCGTCCGGCAGCAGCCTTACTCATCCTTCCAATCACTCCCAGACCACTGCTCTCTTCCTGCTTGGCTGGCCACTCAGTGGTCGTGCAGGGAGACTCGTCCTCCCTTCCCTCGTCTGGAGTGGCCAGCCGAGCAGGAAATCAGCGGGGCTCTGGCAGCTATTGGAGGGATGAGCAAGGCCTCTGCCACCGATGGACACCACTATGTGGGGATATTTGTATTTGTATATGAATACCCCAATCTCTAGTCAGAACTCTGCACATCACCCACAGATCCTGACCAATGTTCCACCTACTGTGCAGATAATATGTAGCATCACCCACAGATCCTGACCAATGTTCCACCTGTGCAGATAATATGTAGCACTGACACCACTGTAAATCCAATGATATACCTTACTGTGCTCATGGAGAACCTACTCTACAAAATATTATGGGCATATTTTTAAATGCAATCAATCAATCAATCAATAAGCAAACACTTTCAAAATCTCATCTTACCCAATATTGAATTTTTAGCTGACTCAACAGTCATCAGCAATTTTCTGGGAACCCACAGAAAAAGTTCTTCTGCCTAAAAAAAACCAACAGAAAGTTCACACTATGCACAACGTGTACTGATTAAAAAAGCAATAAAATAATTAACACTGAATTAACACACATTAATCAGAATCCTAGTGTTGTTTTACACTTGCATAAAGAAAACTGTGTAAGTTGAAGTGGCAAATTGCCACTATTAAGGTGCTGTCTTGTGTCCTTAAGTGCACCATTTATAATTAGAAAATGGTGTTCCTAGCTACTTACATTTTTTTCATGTATATAATAAAACAGACTTATGAAATGTCACTTCTCTGGTGAACAGTATCTGCTTTCAGATGAGCATCTTAGTGCAATGGTTCTCAACGTATTGCCTTCTAGATGTTTCGGACGTCAACCTCTCAAAGTCCAAAATGACCCATGATCAGGGATGCTGAGAAATGAAGCCCAAAACAAATTCTGGAGAGCAAATGGTTGAGAACTGCCATCCTAGAGGAGAGAACTTTTATCCATGGGTAGTTTGTGGATCGAGAAAAGGCTACTTTTTCCCTGCTGTTTTTGGGTGACATACCTACCTGCCTGGTTCATAAGCCAGGGTTGTTAGCCAAGTATTGCTGTTTCCCTATATACAAATTCAGGAGAGCAGATACTGCCATTTTAGGTTATTTGCATCTGTTGCTTTTTCTCGAAGAACTAGTAGCAATATTTTTGTATGTACTATTAAGGATTTAGTATTTAATAATAAAATATAACTATGTGGTTTCAAATGATGATATCCAACCTATGGTAGCAGCTTCTCAACGATCACATTTAGTGGTGCCTCGCTTAGTGATGTTAATCCGTGCAGCAAAAATCGCTGCTAAGTGATTTCATCGCTAAGCGATATTAAAAAGCCCATAGAAACGCATTAAACCTGATTAATGCGTTCCTATGGGCTAAAAACTAACCTTAAAGCGAAGATCCTTCATACGGGCGGCCATTTTTGGTGCCTCTAAAGCAAGGCAAAACAGTGGGCGGCCATTTTGTTCACCTGGCGGCCATTTTGAAACCGCCAATCAGCTGGCCGAAAATGGGGGCTTTGCAATGATCGCTTCCTTGCGATCATCACAAAGTGAATTTTCCCCATAGGGACCATCGTAAAGCAATCGCAAAAATGTCCATCGCAAAGCGATTTCATAGCTATATGGAGCGATCGCTATGCAAGGCACCACTATACTACTAAGAAACTACATGCCAACAAAAACAACTAGTTAGTAAGCCCTGCTGCAAGGTGGATAAAAATCAACTATTCTTTTAAAAAAATCAAATTGATTTAAATTATGTTATAATTTAATTTTTAAAAATTGATTTTTAAATTTAAATTCACAAAAAATCTGGTTTTTAAAAAAATTTAAATCCACCCTGCCTGCTGCAGCTCTAACTTGCTGACAGGAAAAGTACCATATTTTTTCATGTATAAGACGCCCCCATGTACAAGACCCCCATTTTCTAACCCAATTTTTTTTCTATCTAAGAAAGTGGAGGGGGAAAGCGATTCCCACTTTCCTCCTACATTTTTGTTGTAAAAATCCCCTTTCCCCCTCCACGCTTTGCAAAGAAAATGGAGGGGAAAAGCGATTTCTGTTTTCCCACACATTTTTGTTGCAAACGTTCTACAATGAAAACGTAGGGAAAAAGCAGAAATCGCCTTCCCCTTCCATTTTCTTTGCAGGCAGAAATCACTTTCCCCTTCCATTTTCTTTGCAGAACGTGGAGGGGGAAAGCTGTTTTTTGCAACAAAAATGTAGGGGGAAAATAGAAATCGGTTTCCCCCTCCATTTTCTTTGCAAAACGTGGAGGGGGAAAGCAGGGATCAAAGCGCTTTGATCCCTTTCCCCTGACTTCTGAGTATAAAGCGACCTTCAATTTTTCCTTTAATTATTTTAGGAAAAAGTGTCATTTTTATACATGAAAAAATACGGTAGCACAACTTTACAGCAATTGATAATCCTCACTCCCCTACTTCTCTCAGTGACAGGAAGGTAAAAGCAGAGGGAAGTAGGCACTGGGGCAGACACCACACAGTGCTTTTTAGCTGAAAAAAAACAGAGAAATCCTGTAACATCAGAAAACCTCTGTTTTCTAGTGGGGAGACTAGGAAGCAGCTGCTCTCAAAGTGATTGACTAAGAAGACTACAGGAGAAGAAGAGGCAGGCAATTAAAAGAGGGGGGTCATAATAGTTCGAGAACATATCTTTAAATTACATTACTACTATTCCCAACTACAGAATACAGTAATGATGACAGAGACCCTAAACCATTTACCAAAATTACAGTAGAGAGCAATTATTCTTAATCCACCTTAATAGTTTTAACTAATGTCGTTTCATGGAAGTATTGTAGACTAAATGTAAGTTATGACCAATGTTTCTTCTAAGCAGCGCGCACACTCGCCCAGATCTCCACTGGAGCTGCACACTGGCAGCCAGTTTCTTTACGTCCCATTTCACATGAAGCCCCACCCACTACCGCACACAGGGAACGAGGCTTCTGTGCAGCATGACATAAAATTAGAGGGAACATTCGTTACGCTCAAGGTTCTCTACAATATGCGTGACTGCACGCGTAACTGCACCCCTCCACTCAGCTTTCCTCCTCCTCCATGAAGCCCCTTTGATTCTAAATGCGACAGAATCTCCTGTGCGTGGCGGGTGGAGTAATGCACACATGCAGAGAAGTCGCACATGTTAGAGGCAGAGCCCCACTCAGCAGGGCTCAAAATGAAAGGGTATGTTGGTTATGATTATTCAGGGCTTGAAAAAACTTAGAATGTCTCAACAGTCAGTCAAAAATTTCACCAGTCAGCAGGACCGTACTATAGCCAAATTTAAATTTAAACTAGGTACTTTCTACATAAAAATGCATACAAACCTAAAATATACCCTCAGACTTGAGTTGCTTTATTACCTGCGTGCCTGTGGGGCCATGAAGCTTGTATTTTGAATGCCTTTCTTTTGAATGTCTCCAGCAAAAATAAATCTGAAAGCAAAAGCGCCCGGCTTCTTAAGGAGCCAGGTCGTTCGGTTGAAATTGGGAGCACGGAATCTCCATATTCTCCAGCATGGAACTACTCTACATTCTCCTGCACAACTATATATGTGGCGATCAAACTCTCTTCTCGCAAGGGCTGTTTTTCCTTTTGCAATGGAAAGGGGGAGGGGAGGACTGCAGGATCAGAGAGAGACGGACTGAGGGTAAGGAGGCAAGGCGGAAGGGAGGGAGGAAACTGTGGCTTGTCATGCAGTATTTTTTTCACTCGTCATACACAAGTGGACGAGTGGATTTTTCAAGCCCTGGATATATTTCTTCCATAAATATCTTTTCCATATCTTAGCCTGCATTCAGTGAAATGTGCTGTGTTCATATGGCCCCATTTGAACACTTCCAAATTACATACCCAAAGCTGCAAAGTTTGGGTGTTGTTTGGAGCTATAATGATACAATAATCTGCTGAAACTTAATAAGCCCAAGCCTTGATAGAATACTACCTGGGAATTTTATGTACGTCATTCATTTTGATCTCTCAAAATGAAAGATAAGGTAGAAATGCAGCAAAATATGTTGAACTGACTGCTGAAAGCTCAGACCCAACTGGAGAAAGACCACACTCACCACACCAAGCAGATGTATCTAAGATTTCTGGTAGTTAGGAGAATACAGAAATCTGTTCTTGAACTAGATCAGTCATTATTTTGACAAAAACAACTGTTTAGTAAGCCTTGTGTAGCTCTAACTTGCTGAAAGTTTAGTTTTCCAAACACAGTATGCAAAGTAAAGAAATAAATTAAGTAATTTGTATACATCAGCAATATATTGATGAAAGTTATATTATACTCACTTTTATTTCTCTTGTGGCTTTCAAACCAAAACCTTCTTCTCCAAAGTTAGCCACTTCAAAACCCTCTGTCGATGCACCATTTTCTCTGGCCCACTTAATTAGTTCAGGAAAATAATCTTCTCTTTTCCCATCAAATACAACAGACAAACCTACACACACAATTAATGGCAAAATATATATATACCCACAGTGAATTGCTAATGATACAGAAGCTGAAATTATGTTGTTTAGTGTAGTAAGTTGCAACTAGAATAAGGTAATTGAACTTGTGGGTATTTCATGAGTCAACTCTATTAGTTCCACTGGTTCAATGGGCCTATTCTATTTGTAGCTTACTAGGTAACAGCTCTACAGCCAAAAAATATTCACTGGTATTGTCTTCTGAAACTAATATATTTTATTACTTTGAAAATGTCAATGCAGAATTTGCTTATCCATAGGAGTAATTTTTGTTTCTACCGTTCTTGAAAGACTACCTTGCAATATGAAGTGTGACTGCAACCAACTCCAATCTTTGCTTTTATTGTCTTACTACTGACTGACAATCCATGCCACATGATTATTCACAACCTGAATTTGACTCCATTCTCTTCTCTCCTCAGTGCTTAAATCTGGAGAGGACTCACAGAAACCATTACAAAATTACAACCTTATTTTCAAGTACAGTAGTACCTCAGTTTACGAATTTAATGCATTATCGAGGACATTATGTAATGTAAACAGTTCATAAACCGAAACACGGTTTGCCATGGGGGGCAGTGCTATAAAACTCCAGGCACAATGCATCCTGGGGAAACTTCCTTCGTACTGCAGAAAAAAATCGTAAACTGGGGCATGGATTTCCGTTTGTAAACCGAAAATTATGTTAACCGAGGTGTTTGTAAACCGAGGTACTACTGTACCATTCTGTTCCTCCAACCAGATGAAACAATGGAATGAATAAATAAATCAAATAATGGATAAAACAGAAGACTGCACGACGACGAAAGTCATAGGGAAATATAAAGTGTTACCACAATATTAAAAAAGCTAAGGCTTTTATATATTGTAATGTTTCAAATTCTATCACATTTGGTGTAGCATGAAGTTACATCCATGTATGCTCATGACAAGTTTTCCCAGGGCCATCTGCATGCCTGATTGTGCAACAATTTATGCAACTGACTGTGCAACTGATTACACAACTGTATCTGCAGAACTGCTTCCTGGACAGGACTTCTGCATCGCTGCAAATGTTGCAATGTTTTGTGCAACTTCTAGTTATGCAAGCATTGCTATGCAACAGGATTTCAACCAATGCTCTCCTTTATACAATACAGTACTATGAAAATATTTTTTGTATAACTGAGAAGGATGGTTCCACAGCAGCAGTTCTAGATTGTAAAAAGTGTGATATTATTTAATTATCAAGAGATTTTTCATCATATAAAATGAAAACACACGATCCCACATGTATAATTTGATCATTACAATTTCCCATATTCAAAACATACTCCGATTAGTTTTTTGCTATTATGATGCCACAAATAAGACAGGAAAAAATCCCCACCAGGGCTGAATACAGATGAGCGTGTTGAGTTCATAATAATTACCACTTGTAAATGTAATGAAATGGGACTGGCCAAGGTTTTTATCAATTCAATTTCTTATACAGATTTTAACAGAAAATACATTTTCCACTTACTTATCCTGTTTCCCCAAAAATAAGCCCTAACCTGAAAATAAGCCCTAGTATGATTTTTCAGGATGCTCGTAATATAAGCCCTAGCCCAAAAATAAGCCCCTGTTAAGTGAAACCCCGCCCTCCACCATTGTGCAGCAACCAGAAGAAGTTGACATGACTGTATCTGAATAAATGTAGATTGTTGTACATGAAAAAAATAAAACATTCCCTGAAAATAAGCCCTAATGCAGTTTTGAAGCAAAAATTAATATAAGACCCTGTCTTATTTTCGGGGAAACACAGTACTACTAAGATTATGCATCCTCAACTTTTTAGTTAAACTTGAGAAACATTATGCTGAATAATAGTCACTACATTTTTGAGGAAAACATTTTTACAAATGTGTGTGGAAACCATCTCCTTGTTTGGAAACTGAAGTTGGTACCCTGTTGGGGGGCAGGTCCAGGTCCCTATCTCTGACCTTCAAACAGTGTTGTGCTGAAATTTGAGTTTTGGTTTTCAGAGCAACAGATAACTACTACCGTATTTGCCGGTGTATAAGATGACTTTTTTGCCCTGAAAAACATGTCTCCAGGTGGGGGGGGTCGTCTTATAAGCCGGGTGCACCCAGAGCGGGCAGCACATAGCGCAAGGAGGAAAGAGCAGGAGGAGGAAGAGGCGGCGGCGGAGGCGGCACCTCTTCTCTCGAGAAGGCAGCAGGCGGCTCCAGCTCTCAGGTGCAGCATGGCCCAGCAGGAAGCAGCATGGAGAGGCGAGCCCAGCCCAGTCACTTCCTCGGACAGTTGTCCTCGTGGAAAGCAGCAGCAGCACCGCCTCCTTCTTCTCCGTGACCTACCACCATGTTGCCCAGGCGGAGAGGAGATTGGAAGCAAATGGTGCCTGCGACAAGCCAGCGCTGCCCTGCTCATCGCCAGCACTGCCCTTCCCGAGGAGACTTCCAGAGGCTGGGCAAGCGAGCAGGCGCTGGCCTCTGCCCAGCTGGTAGCCCGCCCCAGAAACTTGCTTTCCTTCTCCTCCCTCTTTGGCCCCTCGGCAGGGTAAAAGGCAGAGGGAGGGGGTAGTCTTATACGGCGAGTATATAACGAATGTTAGATTTTGAGTGGAAATGTTGGGGTCGTCTTATACGCCCAGTCATCTTATATGCCGTCAAATACGGTAAATACAGTTCCAAGACAACTTGTGATTATTAACAACCAGAAATCCCCTTTCCATATTATTGAAGCTAGAGATGGGCATGAACTGCTGGTCTGTGCTGATTCATTTGTTGGCTGAACAGGGGTTTGGTGCATCAAAGCCCTGTGTCCGCCAGCAGGCACGCACTCAAGAGGCAGTGTCTAGAGGTGAGGATGGAAAGCCAGGCTGCTGTCTTTAAGTGGGCACCTGCCAGAGGATGCAGGGCTTTGAAATAACAAACATCTGTTCAGCTGATAAACTGGCAAGAACCGCTGAACAAGCAGTTCATGCCTATCTCTAGTGAAGGCCATTTCCTCAAACAAGAGATAATGTCATTTGGAAGTTATCATAATCAAAAGTTTGAAGGAAATATAATTCTATTAGTCCTGGTGATGGGTGCACTATTTTTAGTTATGTTTATTTAATAGTAAGATATGTGTGTTTTTGTTTATTTTTATGTTATGTCTGTATATTGTCAAATTGTTAAGAAATCCCCTTTCCCATTTACCTTTCTGTTTTTTACGGATTCTCTCAACAAGAAGTCGAATCTGTTGATATTCTTCCCACTCCTTTCCAGGACCTGGAGTTGGACTGCTGCATTCTTGAAGGATAAAGAACAAATTAATGCTCTGCTCACTGCAATTTAGCATTCCCCTTATTCATCACACCAAAAAGGAATCATGTGTGGATTTTTACATTCAGTTTTATTAGAAAACACTGATTACTGGGCAACATATATTACAACTTATTGTTTCTGACTAAAGGCCTTTACAATATACAGTATAGAATATACAAGAAGTAAAAAGGCGATTAAAACAGGTAATTATAATAGCTCATTAGGACGGATATCTGGAACTCTGTTACATTCATCATAAATACTATATAGTAATTATTTTCCCCTTTAAAAAAAGCACACAAACAGGCAAATCATTTTTAAAAGATTTTCCTATGTCATCTGACACCTTTCCAGTTATGGTACCAAACAAAAAGAGTGTACACCAATAACGATCAGGAATTGACATTAGGAAGTGACATTAATGGATATACTGACTGAACCCTGAATAGTCAGAATGTTGTCAGGAGACAGCAGAAGTGGGGAAGCAGACGACAGGTCACTCTGGGGAGTAGCAAATACCTCAAAAGCATTGGTAAGTCCTTTAGCTTGCATTCTGCTTTCTAATCGATAGGCCTCTGAATACAGTGGTGCCCCGCATAACGGGCGCCCCATTTAACGACGAATCCGCATAGTGATTAAGTTTTTGCGATCGCAAAAGCGATCGTATTGCAATGTTTTAAATGGTAAAACATTGCTTTGCGACGATCGGCAAGCTGTTTCGCTTACCGATTTTCGCATAGCGATGTTTTTAGAACAGCTGATCGGTGGTTCCAAAATGGCCACTGGGTTAAAAAAATGGCTGCCCGCTGTGTTTTCGCGCCCATTCCTCGCTTACCGGGCAGCGGAAATGGCAGCCGTATAGAGGATTTTCGCAAATAACGGTTAGTTTTTTGACCACAGGAACACATTAAACGTGTTTTAATGCATTCCTATTTGTTCCGTATAGTGACAAATCCACATAGCGACGATTTTTCCAGAACGGATTATCGTCACTATGCGGGGCACCACTGTATTAAGAATTATTATTATAGCTACCAGGAACTATCAAATTTGGTCCAAATACAGTGGTGCCTTGCTTAACGGGCGCCCCGTTTAATGACAAAATCGCATAGCGACGAAGATTTTGCGATCGCATTGTAATGTTCACTATGGGGGAAAATCGCATTGCGATGATCGGTACCCTGTTGTGCTTACCGATCATCGCAAAGTGATTATTTTTAACAGCTGATCGGCGGTTCCAAAATGGCCGCCCGGTTAAAAAAATGGCTGCCCGCTGTTTTCTGGGACAGATTCCTCGCTTACCGGACAGCGAAAATGACCACAGTATGGAGGATTTTCGCTTAAAGATGAGTCTGAAGCCCACAGGAATGCATTGAAGGGGTTTCAATGCATTCTCATGGGCTTTTTAATATCGCATAGTGACGAAATCACTTTGCGGCGATTTTTGCTGCACGGATTATCGTCGCTATGCGAGGCACCACTGTACTATCAAATTTGGTTTCGGATACACTTACAGTAATACCACCATATCTGAAGGATCAGAACCCACAGTTTAAATTATCCACTGCCTGAAAATATTAAATTAAAAACACACAAAAATATGTGTTTCCAACGCATATTACCAGAACTGGCCACCAGAGGAAATAGAGACTATGCTATATATAGCGTTTCTATATATGTATGTGCTTTTTAACATCAGCAGGGGGAAGAGGTTTGAAATCGATCCCATGCAGATATTGTGGTCCTACTGTATGACATCCCTACTAAGATATAGATCCTCTGTTGGTTTTGATGCAATAAATTAATAAATTAATTATAAATAAATTAATAAAGCTACTACCTTGCAATAATTCAGCATTGACTCTTTTCACATTCACATTCTTATCTTACTTCCTTTATCACTCCATAAGCTATAAGCAACATACTTACTCTGTAATAATTCGCTTATTAGATTCAACATCTCCTTCGGAGATGCTGCTGCTGTAGCTCCAGTTCCCGACTTCTGAGTTTTCACTCTGCTTTTCTTCCCCATGTTACAACTTGAAGCAAAGAAATAATAAAATAAATGTTGAAGGGTTACATAGCAAAATTGCTCATACCATGATACCTACATATTAAATGTGTGGGGAGGAGAGACAAGAAAAGTTAGAAGCGAACAAAAATGGCAAAGCTTTCTAAGAAAAAAAATGGACACCTGATAAAACAAGTTGATATGTCATCAGTAATAGCTAAAACTGAAGTATACAGCACCCACATATATTGAGAAAAGTATATAGTACATGTTCTGCCAGAATAAACTTATTCCTAATACAGTACATATACTGTATTTTTAAAAATGGTAGTATAACTTAAGCCTGATCCTCATGAAGATACACATTGGCAGCACAGGAATAAGCAAAAGCAACAAAACATTTGACCAAACCATGTATTACAGGAAAAGCAACCTAATGTCCTACATTTTAATTGGAAAAAAACTATTTATTTCAATGGGAATTACATCCATACATTTAGGATTGAGACACTGAACTAGTAGTGCTTACTTAGTGCTTATAACATTTTTGTATCTTAGTTGGTGTATATGTATCCTAAAATAAAACTTTGGAAAACTACAGCGATCTTCTCCATGGAAGATACAGTGCTGACAAATATGCTAGCTAGACTACATGCAGCTACAGCACATATCCAAATATAGAGGATCCAGAGAACTTGGCACAAAATATCACGTACAAAGTTTAACCAATCTCCATTCAATCTTGCTGGCACAGATTTTACACTATGTACACTTTGAACTTCTGCTCCATCAAAAATCTCTCCTTGATGAAACACAAATATATTCCCTTCCTTCCTGTGCAGCAGTTGTCAGACAACCAAAAAAGTGCACTTAATACTTTTCCTCAAAAGGCACTCACTCAGCAATAAAAAAAACACCTTTACAAAAAAGGTAAGTTTGCCAGTTTCACAACCTTATTTACTGCAATGTGACTTCTCCTAGATGTATGACAGTGGATATGAAAAACTGAAAATACATTGTCATCAATAAAATGCTGCACAATCTACTTTATTGGTGCAAACATAATCTCCCAAGTATCTCTCCCGAAAGGTCAAGGAAAGGAATGCACTACAGCAATTAACTCCTGAGGCATAAGAACTAAATTCTGCAAACATGTTTTTTGGTTGTGGTTTTTTTTAATGACCCCCCCTCCCCCAAATTCCAAACTGGGGCAGGAAGAATAAGGAAAGAAGGATGGGCAGTACATCTAAATAAAGGATACAACACACAAACAAATTTAACAGTATCATCAAAGTTCTTCCTGCATGCAGAAAGTACACGTCACCACACTATATAGATTTCACAACCATTTACTGTTCAGTGATAAAATAACCTCATATACAGAAGATATACTTCTTAGTAAAGTGATGTTTATTTATAACGCCTAACATGTTTCAGCATATTAATGTCTTAATGTTGTCTTCAAGGGATTAAAAATAATAGCTTATTAAAATTTCTGTTGAAAGGTTCCACTTCAGTGAACTGATGCCGGACTCAAATGAAAGGCTATTTCAAAATATTTAAATCAGATGAACTGATTTAAATCATAATGAAAAAACTAGCAATTTTAATAATTGATTCAAATCAAATTTCACATTCTGAATTCAATGTACTTGCAGAGCACACACAGATTCTAACTTACTGCTTTAACAATAAGAAGATACTGGCTTGCAACCAAACAGAAGCTTTCCATAACCCATGAGCATAATTTGTGGCCAGCTGCTTGTTGCCCTGCAAAATTACATCTGCTTCTAGACAAAACAAGTAATGCTGGACAAAGCTGATTATTTGGATACATTCCAATCTGATGTCAGGCATGAGTTTGGGATGAAAACATTATTGGTAGTCCTGGTAGATAAGTCACACTGCCACAAATGGCAAGGAAGGGTCCTTCAACCCAGGTAACATTCTGTCAGTGATGCTTTAAATAGGGATAATCTGCTTCAGCATGCAGTTGGACTCAGAATGGAGATTAGTCTTATTTGATTCTATGATTGCCTTTTCTGAAATTGGGACAATTACTCTGGTTCTGTCTGAAGGTGAGTTCTGAAGGGTTGACTTTTATTCCACCTTATGGCCTCAGGCCTATGAAGTGGACAAGAGCACATCTTTCATGCTTTATAACTAGAGATTGGGGTATTCATATACAAATATCCCTACACCGGTGGCGTTAACAAGGGTCCAACCCCACGGGGCCAGACGGTCTACTCACCGATCTGTTGAGGATGCAGACAGCGCGATTCTACCAATGGCTCCGCAGCGCGCAATCCGCTTGCTACTCTCCAAACTTGCAACAAGGCTTGTCCTCCCGCCTCCTGCCAGGAGTGGCGACCGGATCGTGCGCTGCAGAGCCACTGGTAGGATTGTGCTATCCACAGCAGACTGGTGAGTGGACTATCCAGCCCCATGGGACTGGACCGTCGTTAACGCCACCTGTGCGGGGAATATTCGTATACGAATACACCCATCTCTATTTATAACCTTTACATGAAATCAATGAGAAATCATCCTGAGGTTCAAGATTGAAGTATTATCAGTATGTAGACGATATGCATCTTAACCTCTAGTTGTCTAATCCCTATACTGTACTATTTTAGCAAACAATCTGGAAATTCTTCTGGACTTCACACTAACTATGAAAAACAGTGTGACATCACTATTTTTTTTTACCAGTTTCGACTGAAACACAAAAGGATGTCCTGTCATAATTAGTCTTACTTTCCGTCAACCATGTACCAGTAATATCTAGATTGCACTTCCAATCTAGATTGCACATCCATAATGCAGTCTTTGTATGACTACCTTTAAAGGCTGTACGGAAATTTCAGCTGCTGCAGAATATGTCCCTCAAAGTACTGATGGAGGCTAGGTAGGCATGTGGCCATTTTTCAATGCACACCTTAACATGGTGAAGAGGAATAAGTTCATGAGGGGAGCTAAGGGCAATGCTGTCAAGAGGCTAGATTCCATCAATTAAGTCAAGAATTCTATTAAGGTCATTCAAATTGAAATGATCAAAATTGAGACACCAGTTAAGATATATCTATCTTCTTCAGAAATTAACGGTTCCATCAGCAGAAAATGATTCTTAGTTCTCCCGATGATGATGGCAGAGATATTCCAGAAGCACCACTACTGAGCAGGAGCAAGAGTGGAAGGTGACACTAGGAGAGGATCTTTTACAGACAACAGAAATGATGTTCAAGCTAGCTTTTGTCAGTCCTGCACAGAAGCACACAATGGTAAAACCAACTTCTCAATGTTCATACCTCAAAAATTCTATGATGAGATGATCCAAAATAAAACTAGACAGTGCTGGAAGATGTGACTCTCTAGTAAGTAGGCATTTAATCAGCTACTCAGAATGAGCTAATGATAAGGGTGAGTAGCATTGTTCTTGATAAAGGAAGTGGACTAAAGTCATACAGACATTAAGTTGCTGATGTGTATAGACATAAAAGGAAAATCCAAAGATGCACGACACATATAACTGGAACATGGAATGTGAAAAATATGAAAGAAGGTAAGCTCGAAATTGTAAAGCAAGATATGAAAATGCTTGGTGTGAGTGAATTCAAAAGTTGATTAGAACAGGTTTGTGTTAATTCAAATAATTACAAAGTGCGGAAAACAAACAAACGAAGAAGAAACAGTGTGGCTCTAATAATGATGCAAGATGCAGCACAACCAGCTAAAAGCTATAATGCAACATCTGACCAAATAAGTTCAGTCAAATTTCCTCAAAGGCCTATCAACGTTTAAACATAATTCAAGTCTATAATGTCTATGCTCCAACTATGGAAGCTGGAATTGAAAGCTTTTATGAAAGTATCTAGGAGAATATTACTCACACAGTGAAAACAGGATGTGCTGATAATTGTAGCTGACTGGAATGCAGAAGTAGAAATAGGAAATAAAGCAGAACTAAGCAGCAGCATCTCATTTCACACGCTAGCAAGGTAGGCTTCAGAAGTATGTAGACTGAGAACTCCCAGAAGTACAGGTTGGATTTTGAAAGGGCAGAGGAACTAGAGACAAAATTTCTAACATGTGCTGGATTATGGAGAAAGCCAGAGAGTTCCAGAAAACATCTACTTCTGCTTAATTGACTACGCAAAAGACTTTGACTGTGTGGACCACAACAAACTATAGCAAGTTCTTAAAGAAATGGGAGTGCCTGACCACCTTATCTATCTCTTGAGAAATTTATACATGGGAGAGGAAGCATCAGTTAGAACTGGATATGGAACAACTGATTGGTTCAAAACTGGGAAAGGAGTACAACAAGGCTGCTTATTTAACTTATATGCAGAATACATCATGCGAAAGGCAGGACTAGATGGATCCCAAGCCGAAATTAAGATTGCTGGAAGAAATACCAACAACCTCAGATATGCAGATGATAGAGGGTGAAAGAGGAGAGCGCAAAAAATGGTCTGAAACTCAAAATCAAAAAAACTAAGATCATGGCCACTGGTCCCATCATCTCCTAGCAAATAGAAGGGGAAGATATGGAGGCAGTGACAGATATTACTTCCCTGGGCTCCATGATCACTGCAAATGGTGACAGCAGCCACGAAATTAAAAGAGGCCTGCTTCTTAGGAGAAAAGCAATGAGAAACCTTGACAGCATCTTAAAAAGCAGAGACATCACCTTGCCGACAAAGGTCTGCATAGTCAAAGCTATGGTTTTTCCAGTAGCAATATATGGAAGTGAAAGCTGGACCATAAAGAAGACTGACTGCCGAAGAACTGGTGCTTTTGAAATGTGGTGCTGGAAGAGGCTCTTGAGAGTCCCCTAGACTGCAAAGAGAACAAACCTATCCATTTTGAAGGGAATCAACCCTGAGTGCTCAAAGGAAGGACAGATCCTGAAGCTGAGGCTCCAATACTTTGGCCATCTCATGAGAAGACTCCCTGGAAAAGACCCTGATGTTTGGAAAGTGTGAGGGCAAGAGCAAAAGGGGACGACAGAGGATGAGATGGTTG